TTCAAGCAATTTCATTTTTCGGCCAAAATAGAAAAAAATTCAAGGGGTTAGCCTTACTTTTTGGTCAAATTTGGCCAAAATTTGACTTTTCTCCAAACAACTCAGAAATGTCCTTGAATGCAAGAGGAACATCAATCGACCTTCAAATACTAAACATATTGAAGATTTGGGCAAAAATCAACGACTTTTTCAGACAACATTTATAATTTTAACTAATTTTGACCTAAATTATCGACGCAAACTTTCTTTAAAATGCCCAATCTATCCAAAATTCCAGTTCGAATGTGCTGTATGTAGGGACCCTCAGGCATCTTCCCTGCAAGTTTTAAACTATTTCATTTTTCGGCCAAAATTGAAAAATTGCAAGGGGTTAGCCTTACTTTTTGATCAAATTCGGCCAAAAATTTACTTTTCTCCAAACAACTCAAACATGTCCTTGAAAGCAAGAGGAACATCAATCGACCTTCAAACACTAAACATATTGAAGTTTTGGGCAAAAAAACACCGACTTATTGCGACAAAATGAATAATTTTAACTAATTTTGACCTAAATTATCGACACAAACTTTCTTTAAAATGCCCAATCTATCCAAAACTCCAGTTCGAATGTGCTCTAGGGACCCTCAGGCATCTTCTCTACAAGTTTCAAGCAATTTCATTTTTCGGCCAAAATTGAAAAATTGCAAGGGGTTAGCCTTACTTTTGGATCAAATTTGACCAAAAATTGACTTTTCTCCAAACAACTCAAAAATGTCTTTCTTTCAAATGCCCAATTTATCCAAAATTCCCAGTTCGAATGTGCTGTAGGGACCCTCAGGCATCTTTCCTGCAAGTTTCAAACAATTTCATTTTTCTGCCAAAATTGAAAAAAATTGCAAGGGGTTAGCCTTACTTTTGGATCAAATTTGACCAAAAATTGACTTTTCTCCAAACAACTCAGAAATGTCTTTGAATGCAAGAGGAACATCAATCGACTTTCAAACACTAAACATATTGAAGATTTAGGCAAAAAACACCGACTTATTGGGACAAAATTAATAATTTTAACTAATTTTGACCTAAATTATCGACGCAAACTTTCTTTAAAATGCCCAATCTATCCAAAATTCCAGTGCGAATGTGCTCTAGGGACCCTCAGGCATCTTCCCTACAAGTGTCAAGCAATTTCATTTTCCCGCCAAAATTGAAACGTACATGACACAAAATTGTTTATAAAATTAATGGTCTGTCTGATTACAAGAGGTTTGGAACATAATTGATAATTTTCTTTATAGCCTCATTCCATCTGTCCTAAATTATAGTTAAGCGAAATGTCGGCAAACTTAACAAGATGTATAAGTTATTGCTCCAGGAATGCGTGGGCCGTTTTGCGTGTTAACAGTCAGGAAGCTTTTCTGTACGGTTGGACTTCATTCTCCGTGATGGTAAACAAAACAATGTTTGATGACCAAACTATTGGTTTGTCTTAACAAGTTGTTTTATCTATCCTAAACAATTGTTATTAAGCAAAATATCAACCAAGAAGACGTGTGTTTCAAACATTATAGGCTTATATTGTATCTGTCCTAAACAATATTTAAGTGGAATGTCAAACTAGTACGACATGTATATAATCCTTGGGCTAATACCTGAAACTACTGAGTAACAATAAACACAAATAAAAGACATTTACACAAAAGCAAATTACCTTTTGTCATTTTCGTGTTTTAATAATTATTTCTTTCCGAGCACACAAACTCAAAGAAGATAATGGCTTCACAAACCATTCAGATTTTTCTTGCATTACCTACAAAAAGTAGGCTTTTGGGGGTTTTGTAAGACATGGAAAAGGCACAGATAAGACGTCTTTCAACTAAAAAGAAAACATTACCTTGCTTAAGTATTATAACTCTATATTGTCAAATCTATCGCCTGTGGCACAGGTATAAAAAAAAAAAGGCAAAATAAACACTTTTTCAAAATTATTTACACTGTACAGGGTACAAACATCTATATACAATACCTTAAATAGTGTCTGTAGTTTAAAGTGAAATAACAATACGGCGTAGCACAATGAACATAAATACTTAACATAATTTTTAAAAATCAACAAGGCCATATGTTGGTCACAATGCACTTTAACGGTACACGGAATCATTTGCTTTTTGTGCATTTTTTCCCATTTAAACCAACAAGATTGATGAAAGAGGGGTACAAATTAGCTACCTTGTTCAAGTTTCAGCTCAGCGGATACCATACATTTTGAGAAACCTGAAGAAATGTGTGAATAATTTGTGTGGTCTCGTGACTGGATGCAGTAGCTAACACACAGGTAACAAACTGTGCCAGCGGGCACATCTTAAACCACCTTCATTCAATGATTGTTTCATTCCGAACGATACATTTCTGGCTGAATAATTTCACAGGGTATTTCTTACCATCTCATCTTCATTTAGAGCAAGAATTGCGTTAAATCAGTAGGTGCATTTGCAGGTCGGTAAAAGCAAACGATCCCCCGTGTCTTGAACAATACTCCAATATTACCAGCAAAGGTATAGTGGATAAATTATAAAGGTAACACCATGTGGAAAGATATCTCTCCTTGGAAGAAGTGTGGTTGTGAAAAGAACCAGTTGGTTGAGTGTAGAACCGGTTGGTTGAGTGTAGAACTCAACGTTTCGGACAGTGTGCTCTGTCCGTCCTCGGGAGGTCGAGTCTCAACCTCCTGAGAAACGTCGAGTTCAACCGGTTCTTTTCATGCAGAACCACACTTCTTCAAGAAGAGATATCTTTCCACATGGTGTTACCCGCAAACTTTAAAATTCATCTCATCCGCCATGCAAACCTTCAAGTAACATATATATGGGTATAGTGGCTTCCCAACATGGACACTCTCCCCCCAATAATATCAGCATTTGCCTCACTCTGACCTGCCATAACCAAAATCACTGGATGAAGACATGTTTGCTGGGGCCAGACTCCTAGTCATTGTACCTGACTGTCTGATTCGACTGACTGACCGACTGACCAGACTGACCAGACTGACCAGACTGACCAACTAACTGACTGACTGTCACTTCTGACCTAGCCAGGGGCCAATTTCATGGAGCTGCTAAGCACAAACCTTTGCTTAGCATAAAAAAGTCTCTGGCTTACTAAAAGCAGGTTACCAGCCAAAGTTTCATGCTTAAGCAAACAACGGCTGAATACCAGTCACAAGCAATATACATGACATGGAAAGTTGGTTGGTAATCCTGTTTTTGCCAAGGAAGACTTTTCATGCTAAGCAAATTTCTGTGCTAAGCAGCTCCAGGAAATTGGCCCCTGGTTGTTGGCTGGTAAAGAGAGCTGGGCGGGGTTACTGTACTGCTAAATCCGGCCCACTGTGTGCACACCACATGCAGTGAACAGATAAAACTGCTGGCTTGCTGCAAGCAATGCCAAAAAAAGTGATTTTGGCATTGGACGTTGCGTTAAGGGAGCCAGTAAAAACACATTCAATTCTCACAAAATGGGGAAAAAAAGGATTGATGGTTTTATCCCAGGTCAAATAAACTTTTGTCACAATAGACCTGAGAAGATTATCTCGTTATACAAGAGCATTGTTCACCTCTTTTTAAATAGGTTCACGTACACAGAATCTATTACATGCCCACTTAAATTCTTTTCCAGATCGGGAGCCAGAGCTTCCAGTACGCGTTGCCACACACGTTCAGCAAAATGTCAACTTACCCTCTCTATTTATGAGTTAAGCTGGCATTTCTGTTCATTTTTTAGTCAATGTCAAGCATCAGCTTCAGACCATGGTCTATGTAAACAAGACCAAAAGGGAAAGTACAAATACGTAAATATTGAAGCTGAAAATCATTTATGTGACAACTTTTATTAAAGGCAAATCCCATTGTAACAAAAGTTACACAGTCTCCATTACACAACCCCTAAATATATCCCCGTCATCTGATTAAACAGTAGTTGATCAAATGTCATTGAATTACTCGTCCCAACCCAAGGCCCCGCTGCATGCACTGACAAATTAAAGGTTCTACTCCACGGTAAATATAAATTCCATTGCACAGTCACACTATTGGGAGCTCCGGCCAATCAGATGACAAGGATTTATTCAGGTGTAGTAAAAAACGAATGTTTCACATTCGTGAAATGGAAAGAATAATATCAATCGGTGACAGATGGAATGTTCCAATTTTCGCCGCATGGAATGGAACATTCCATCCGCCACCTCATGAAATTATTCTTACCATTGCACTCATAAACATTCATTATTTGGATCATCAGAACATCAGTTTGGGCTGAAACTTTAACAACATGCATGGATCCTCAATGAAGGCACAATTGCTAGCACATATTTTTTTCCAACTTCCTGTCTTGTTCAAAACTTTATGAATTTGGAAAATGAGCCCCACTTGATAGCCAAAGTAAGTGTGTCTCCAAAGTTAGTGTGTCCATTGTTTGATAAAAGTTTGTGAGTATGCTTGTGCTTAATGCTGGTAAAAATCCAAACACAATCCAAATTTTTGGTTGTGGGTAGTGTGTTGGAATATGTATTGCACTACAAAGGTAGAATAAAAAGACAAATTACGCTTAATGCATAAAAACCATCTTCAACAAATTAATTACAGGAATGACAAAGACAGTATTAATCAAGGTGATTATTTGGACCATGGATCCTCTACACAAGGATAATCAAATTCCAAAATTTCTGGTTAGAACATACAATGCGCGTGCGCGAGACTAGAGTCGGCACGTGACAGTTGAATTTCTGTCAAGTCTCCCATGATTGGGTTCATGTGGGGCGTGCACGCCGAGTCCTTCATGTGGGGCGTGTGCGCCGAGTCTCGCGCACACGCGCATTGTATGTTCTATACCATACAGGCCGTTATCACGTTAACTCGTTTATCCTTGTGTAGAGGATCCGTGTTTGAACCAAGCCTTCAGACAGGGTCCTAAAGAGAGAGACCTTTAAAAATGTTCTCTCAGTGACAATAACTTAGAAAATACAAAGGTAATTCTCACAGAATCCTAAACAGCAGCCTGAGGGTACTCAGCAAACTGTGTTCCTTTGCACAAAGCCTCTGGCTTTACATAGCTTGTGAGTATTTCACAAATAACCAAGACTTTTTTCATGGCCTACATTGTCATACATCTCCATGGGGGCTCGGTGCGCCAGTACCCCCTGAACAGTTAGAATTGGAGAGTGGGGGGCCCACTGGGACGGAGGGGCGAAAGACAGGCCGACGACGCCTGACATTCACATGAAGACATTCTGGCTTTGTGCACCATCCAGAAGAAAAATTAGATGCAAGTACTTTGAGCCATATTCGTGCGAACCAGTACGCGCCTACGCAGTGTGTCCTGCAAATAATGCTGGTGATAATTTGGTCATGTTCGGCGCCTCCAAGCTCCTGCCCCTGCTTGTCTTGCCCTTAAATGCTGCTGTCCAGTTCCACCTTTGGCAACGGCCTGCCACCTGGATGAGGCCTCGTGGTCATCCCTGGCTTAATTAGCTTCAGTAGGTTGCGGATGCTGTGCAGCTGTCACCAATCAAGTTCTTGCCCTTGACCGGGGAGGTTGGTGTCACTACGACCCGCTGATGGTCAAGTGCAGCAGTAGTATAGTGTAATGTTGGATTTGGAAGCCACCTGTTTGTCAAATCTTGCGGCACAAGACTCGGACACGGACTCTATCTAGTAAGCACATGAACCAGTATGTGCACCCATCATATCCTGCAATTAATGCTGGTGATAATATGGGATTTGGAAGCCAATTGTCCATCATGTGGCATGGCCAGGAACCGAGAACACAGGCCGGCCGACCTCGAACTCTGCATGATGCAAACATGAGCCCATCTGATGTTACCTCTTCTTCCCTTTGGTTGGTTTGGGAGGCTGAGCAGCGTTACCTTTGGACTTGTTGACATATTTCATGTACTGGATCTCACCGTCCAAGTCTAGCAGCTCTTGTCTCAGCTTCTCGTTGATTTCTTGGAGGGATTCTGATAGAACAGGAGAAAGAAAAACCAACCAAAAGAGTTGTAACCACTTCATCAAATTCAACAATTCATCAAACCCAACAATCCAAGTCAATCAATAGTCATCCAGTCTCAAGTCAAGTAACACGTTAGTCAAATAAACTGTGACAAAGGCATTCCTTAGTCATGGTTCATCCCCTGTTAATTGTGACCTACATGTAAATTAGGAATTTGAAAAATGATTGAATTGAAGTTCTGACTTGTTCACAACTCTGTCGACAGAAACTGGAAGGCATGGTGCCTTTTCAATTAAGAATACACCCTGTTTCCAATGGGACTCTTTAAGGAAAACCAGATGTTTCTATGACTGCAATACTGGTACATGTCCGAGAAGACATGTGTCAGTATACAAATATAACATGGTTTGAGGGTGGCCAGTCGATATTCGCTCCCCGAGGTATTGGAAGTTGACAAACTAGTTCCCGAGGCGAAGCCGAGGGAACTAGTTTGTCAACTTCCAATACCGAGGGGAGCGAATTTCGACTGTCCACCTGAAATAAACCATGTTATTTTTGTTTTACTATACCTCATACATATTCAGCGCCGATTTGTTTCAGCCAGGGTGGGCGTAGGAACCTCAAACAATATTTTTTTTGAAAAACTTGTCCAGTTCACCAAAAGAATGATATTGCTCAACTTCACTAGTTCAGTTCGTTTACCATACAGTGCAGCTGTAAATACAGTAGTTTGGGTACAACATTCTTTTGTACAGGAGGCATCTTTATTGTCCATAAATATTCTCTAGTTCGGCATCATTGAGCTCGGGAAAATAACGCGCAGTGAAACCTTAACCATCTCTTCGTGTGTAAGTTGGGCGATGTTCGCGCGTGCGTCCTACACCCGTGCGACAGTTCCACGATTGCTTTTTAAAGCGCATGCGTAGTAGACTGTCGCTACTACACATGCGTATTTGCCCTGTGCGTGAATCCTCACGCACGCGCATGGTAAACAGCAAAAATAACATCTGACACGTGATGGTGAATAGACCAGTGAGAGTCCAGCTCTCGATCATGAATATGTATGAGGTATAGTAATATCAGCTTCTACCAGGGTGATTGAGAAGGGAACACAAATGTTCAACATTTTTGAGATGGCAATAAAAGGTTGTGTACATCAGGTAGAAGCAAAAGCAGCACCCTATGGTTTGGCAACTGAACTGCCCAACCACAAACAAACGATAGGAGCAAATGTTAGGAAGCAGCTTCTTGGAGGGGTGCCCTAGGTAGTGAAGCCTATGGTACAGCGGCATCTCGATAAGTCAAACCTCAGGGGGAATTGGCTCAACTTTTTAACTGACAGAGTTTTGAGTTATCCAACGGATTTTCTATTCAACAACAATTGATGGGAATAAGTTTTTACTTTAGGTAAGATGGGTTTTTGAGTTAGAAGGGTTTTTGACTTCGAAGGGTTTTGAGTTAACAGGTTTTGACTTATCGAGATTTCACTGTATATGTCAACTACAATCCAACAAATAATGATGATAAAATGAGAATAGCATTATGAAAGAAGAGGGAGATTAATTGTGGAGTAACTCTTGGGGAAAAATAGGTCAAGCAGTGACAGTGATTGTTCCTCCTTGATGTTAGTACAAGAGGCAATGTGGGGCTGAGGAAAAATAAAGGGATGTGAGTACCAGTGCAGTTAAGGTTGTGTGCTAAGAGGCAGCTAGAGTACAGGTAATGACTTCAGTTCCAGGATACAAGTTGTCCTCAGTGGTGACAAAAGAGAAAGACTAAAGGACACTAGTAGCCGAAGTTTGGAAAGCCCTCTGTAAGTCAGGCCTACCTGGGTCAGGGGGTGGCTTGCTCAGGTCCCCTGACTTAGCCGCTAAGAGATCACTGGCTCCCTTGGGCTTGTACTTGACTGGGGGAGGGGTGGCAGCAGGGGTGTGGGGAATGCTGTCCAGGTTCTGCTCAGTGCTGGCAGGAGGCTCTGCAGTGAGTGGTGAGGGAGGGAAGGTTGGAAGGGTGAGGTGAGGTAATTAAGGCATTGAGGTCCATGCACAAGTACCCCCTCAACAGCAGGCAAGGGAGAGTTGGGGGAGACCACTGGGAGGGACTTTTTAACGCATTGCCAACGACGCCTGATGCTTAAACAAGACGCTATTGCATTGTGCACATTCAGGATAAAATCAGTCGTGTGTACTTCGCGCTATCTGGTTCGTTAGTAAAAACGTCATACACGCCCGTGCACCACTGATAACTAGTGCCCATTGGATAAACACTCAGGTTGCGTTAACTTCTATTCTACACCGTGTGAAGTACGCATGCATGAATTGAGATGACGTCACACTAATGAACCGGATAGGCGTGCGAACCATCAGTACTTTGGGGGGGGGGGGGATATTACCAAAAAAGGAACATTTTTTTCTATAAAGTTTTTGCTAGTATTTCATTGGTCAAAATATTTTATCAATTTTTTTTTATTTTTTGATACTGTGGACCTTTGGGGCAAGAAAGTGCTATAAAAAGGAAATTTGTTTAACGGGTGAGTGAGCATCAGTGTGCAGGCCTTCGCTGCGTTATAGGGAAGTTTTTTATTGCAAGGCAAAATAGGACCGAGTTATGGGGACTTTCTGCTGTCACCACAGCAGTTTTCGGGCCCCACAAATACCAAATGTATGTCCCCATAACTACGGAACAAGACTTTGTGAAAGGTTTAGTGTTGTGTAAGTGGGTAAAAAGTTAAATCTGATGCTAGGGTCTGAGGTTGACAGCAGTAAGTACTTGTTGACTTTTTTGCAATTAGTGAGCCAAAACAAAAATGCAGAAATTCTGTGGACCATATACATGAAGTACCCCCTCAACAGTGTAAATAAAATACAGTGCCAATACATTTGTACATGGTTATTACTATTATAAGCATTAATTTGTGTTGCATTCTTCATCTGAAGGGTTCTCATTTCAAAGCATCAGTGAAAAATTCACTGTTCAGGCTACATTAAGAGTAAAATAACTATGCCCCACCAGAATAATGATCATCCTGAAAAATATCTGCACAATGGTCTTTTGGTACAGGATGCACTTTTGATGATTATTTAAAACAGTAGATTATGTGCAGTCTTCATGCATGGGACATTTGGGGTCCAAGGGTGGATGACCGAAGGAAAGGGACAGGGCAAAGTCATGCAATGAGCCCTTGGAACAAAAGCAATTTTGTTAACTAAAAAGTAAGTCAAGTTAAGGCCTATTTACACATGTGTGATTTTGTCGTGATGACTTTGTCGCATGGAAATGTCGCAGATGTGCATGTCAACACAAACGCTATTATGTTGTGCAAATTTTTCTTCCAACTTTTACGACCAGTCAGTTCAGGCACAGGTTCCAGGTGAAAATATGTATGCAACGCTTTGCATCGCGCGATAACATTCACTTCGAATTTGATTCCAAAAAGAATCACGACCTTGTTGGTTAATGTAAACACGCTCGTTGATTTGTGCATAGTAGGGAGGTTTCGCAAGCGAACGGATACGCTTACACTTACGTTTAGCTATCCGTATCCGCTTTTTACTTACGCGTAGCGAGCGAGATATGCGTGTCGTCTGCACGTTTAGCGGATAGTGAGTGGCGTATGACGTCATACGTGCAGACGACACGCATATCTCGCTCGCTACACGTAAGTAAAAGACGGATACGGATAGCTAAACGTAAGTGTAAGCGTATCCGTTCGCTTGCGAAACCTCCCTATTTACAAAATTGTACGACATTGTCGGGCGACCAAGTCGCGAATGTGTACATAGGCCTTAAGCCTGAATTTGTTTTGAGGTCCCCAGTCTGGGGTTCCAGTCTTACCCGAGTTATCTTTCCGTTGTGTCTTGGGAGAGGGTTTGCCTCCCTCCTTCCCCTGCTGTAAGGCGTTCTTCTTGCTTCGGTTGCTGTAACCACTGATGACCTGGGAGGAGGCGGCGGTACCCTGGTGAGGAGGCTTATTCAGGGGTTTCCTGGGAGGGTTCTTGGGTTTGTTTGGCCGGTCCTGGATGGAGTGCAGGTTGGCGTGGTGATTGTTGGCCCAACGTGGGCTGGATGGGTCGTTCTTTGGTGCTGGATCTGAATGAAATTAATGAACACGATTCAATTAACTAATGCTTAAATAACACTTCAGGGTTTGCATGGTGGACATAATCAATGAAAGGTTTGCGATAACACCATGTGAATGATATCGCTTCGTAAGTTGTGTGGTTCTGAGAAGAACCAGTAGGTTTAACTTGACATTTCGAACACTGTGCTCTGTTGGTCATCAGGAGACAGCCGGACTATTGCTGGTGTAGTGGTTTAAGTAGTGGATGCTAAGTTCAGTGTACCGTGGATGCAGGAGATTCTAGAACAGGATGCTAAGTTCGGTGGAAAAATGCATAAAAAAAAACAATTTTTAAAAATGAACAAATAAAAATGCAGGTATTAGGGAAAAAAAAAAAATTAGTCAGTCTCTGGTCAGACCAAAATTCCGGAATTGATGCGGCGCTGCGGTTGTTTTTTTTCCCCAAGCTTGGGTTGTACAGACAAGGTGGGTACTATTTTGCTTTTTTTTGTGTCCTCATATACCTTGGTGCTCTCCATCATTTGCCTTGGTGCCCTCCACCATTTTGGAGTGGAGCTGCCCACGAAAATTTAAGGCGGTACGGCAATAGAGAGCGCTGTTGTAGCTACCACAGAAAATTCGGGGAAAAAAAACAACATTTCACGTGCATGATTAAAATCAACACGCGCGCTGACCAGAGACCGACTATTTTTTTTTTTGCCTTACCTCTGTTCACATCTTTTGAAGTTGACGGTATGGAAGGGATGTAGATGTCCACTTTTTGCTGAGGCCTGCCGTGATGAGTTGTCTCGCCATTCGCAGCTGGGTCTCTGCCGTTCCTAGCCGCCTGGGGGTCTGGCCTCAGGTTTGACAACCCCCTGGGGGAGGCTTCTTCAGGCAAGGAGTGCTGGGAGTTGAGGGAGGCTTGGCTGTGGTAGGCCTTGGGAGGCGGGAAGCTGTGGCTGGTGTCGGGGTTGCTGCCAGTGTCGCTAAAGAGATAATGAAGGGAACATTTCATTGAGTAAGTGAAAAAATTGCTTGTAAATTGATGTGCATTTCAAAGATGTACTGTCCATGCTCTTCAACAAATCTGATGTTTTAGTCCTTACAGCTTTTCAACAGGTGTGCCTTTTTTTTCATGGAAAAAAAATATTTGAATCTATTTTGGCATCTTCAATCTGCTGAAAAAAATATGAGTGTTATTTTGGGTTGCGTTTGTGCCCCAAAAGACCCCCTCCCCCTACAAGCCGACTAGTTCTTGGTTCTTATATATTTTCGGACCTTTCTACTGTGCGAGGACTGGATTTCCCAGGCCGCAAATAATTGAAATTTGTAAAGTAACTTTTCCATGACTCGACTTGCGCTGACTTTTTCGTTCTATAGCTTCATTTTTCAAAAGTAAAAAAACAAATTTGATAGAAAAATGGCAATTCGAAAGAGAAATCTATTCTTCGGGATGGAACAAAAAACTAGCACAGACAGTACTTCAAGAAAATCAGAAGAGAACTAGACAGTGGTAATGTAAATAATAATAATAATAATTTGGGAGGCTAATCATCCTTACTCGCAGCTGAGAGCCTGAATTGCAAAGGATCGCACCACAAGAGAGTGCAAGTCAAAACGTATCGACGGCCATTTTTGGAAGGGAGGGCTTTCAACAGAAACCTTGCTTTGCATTTCTCAAAAAGTATGACATCTTCTACGCTGAAATTTCAAGAATTTTTTTTTTTTTTAATAATTCAGATTTGTTGCAAAATTGTTCCTAATGAGTCAGCCAAAAATATATTTTTGTAAATAGGGTCCATTATCTTTAACCAGTTCACTCCATGAATATTTTGACAAGAACGGAACGAGGCGCGGGATTACTTTCACTCATATTTCAGCCCCTCGCTCCCTGCAAGCGGGTCGCTGACGGATGCTTCCTGCCTCACTACATGTGTGTTTATCCGTTATCTGATCCGAATACCGCCAATCCTTTACATGTATACATATTATCCGGCGTGAACTGGTTAAGTGTAATTTTCAAGCTACTTGTACAGTGGTAACCTGACAAATTTGAACCCTTTTTATAATGAGATACTTTCAAGGTACACTTACTTGTGCCTGTTGGATCCCCTCTGGGTGGGCGGGTAGGTATGCTGCGCCTTATTTGACCTGGAACCACTATCAAACCCATGACTGTCAGATGAGTTCAGACTACCAGGGAAGCTTTGATGCGTCGGTGGGGGCTGAGAGCGATGCTGGTGGGGAGGGGAGGGCTGCTGGTGGGGGATAGTAGGGGTGTTGTAGGGGTGGGACTTGGGGGCCCGGTAGCCGTTGGGGACCCCCCTCTTGCTGTCTACTGGGGGGAGTGGTCCCGTCTGCGGAAAGAAAGATTAGCTTGGGTTTATAGTGCATCAAAGATTGATTGACTGGGTTTCATTAAAATGTTGCATTTTCCTGGCAATATTACCATAAACACTTGGCTTTCAATCCACTTTTCAATTTATTCACTGATTACATAATTTTATTAAGATACTTTTAATGTAGAGAAAATAGAGTGTGATAAGTAGATTTTCGTGGTAGAATGGTACAATAAAGTGTGTGGGTACACCATGGGTACACCAATCGCTACTGTCAAGAAAGTTTTGATGAAAGTTTTGAAGTCTTACTGACGATTTTGGACAATGTGCTATGTCCATCTTCAGGAGATAACTGAAGAGAAAGCCCTTTGGTAACTGTTTAAAATATGTGAAGGACAAAAATTAATCAGTGTATAGTGCCCTGTTACTAAACTGAAGACCCTTCCTCAAAAATTGGCTTCAGCTCTTTTTTGAAACCTTTAACTAAACAAAGGCACCACTTTTGACATGAGACTTCATACTTCAATGTACGTGGCCAGAAGAAACCAAGAAAGTTACCAAGATCTAAGGCTTTTTATAGCTGGAACCCCAAAGCTTAAGTACTTCGACTAAACTTTCAAGGAGAACAAGAAGAAAACTGGTTGGCATGAGGAGAGGTACGTGTAAGCTAGCAGATTCTGGACATGAATTGGAAAGTCACTGATTTACATCTCTCACCTGGTCCTGATTGCCAGAGTGCCTGTCAATCCCACCGCTGCCACCACTGCCACTGCCAGCAGCTCTACTACCCTGCTGCCAGTCTGGAGACTGGAGTAATGAGCTACCCTGTGAGCCGGCTCTCTGTCCTCCTTGCTGGGAGGACGGGGTGCTGCTGGAGGAGTACTGAGACAGGCTTCGAGAATGCTGGTCTGAGGAGGAGACCCCGGAGACTGTCCGACTCATGGAGACAGGAGATGCTGCAAAGACTCTGGAAAGAAAAACATTGTACATCTTCCTTGATTCACCCAGATATTTGAAAAGTCATTGACCACTATCAAAATGGAGTAGGAAAAAATTTAGAGACAGGAATGTACTTTTAATAAGTACAAGTGTGCAGAGGGCCTAACTAGGCATCTTGTTTTGGTATTAAAGCTATAGTCCATCATTTGTAATTAGTGCATTTTGTTCGTTTGAAGCAACAAAAGTGTTCAAAATCTAATGAAGGATACTGAACAGTACTGTTTCAGCTCAGCTTCAGCTTCATATTCTGAGAAAAATAGCATTCTAGGATCTCAATTTAAAATCAAAAATTCCTAAATCATGTTTCGAATTGTTTTGAACTGCAGCTTTACGCGGTGTCGCGCACTGATCCGACGAATTATAGCAACCGCGCGCGCCTGTGCGTCGTTCCAATGCTTGTGCGCGCTGCGCCAAATAACAAAACGAACAACTAATTTAAATTTTCCTACGGTGCTTCTAAGAAGCACCGTTGGAAATGCCTTCTTTCGTTGATTTCTTCAAAATGAGAGCTTGCCAGAAAGGTTAATTTCACAGGGAGTTTAGTCCCCTTACTATCTTTCAACCAGTATGCTTTTCAACAATAATTACGCCAGTTACTTTTTTGGATAGCTGCAAATGATGGACTCAGGCTTTAAACCAGACTTGCAATTAAGTCATTACAAGGCAATCACAAATCATCAAGTCAAGTGAAAAGCCATTCAAATTGTTGCAAAAGGTATTCCTTTGTTACTGCAAATCTTTAATATCGTGGGAAGCCAAAACCCTGCTACAATTAACTCAAGTCTGAAACAATTTGGCAAGTTGGCTTCGTTTTTGATTAAAAAAAGCCCAAATTTAAATGCCAACCTTTCTAGCTGATCCAGCTTAGTGAGCAGCTTATCATTTTCTTTGGACAGGTGCTGGTGTTCGGACATGGCCCTCTCCCTGACGTTGCTCAAGTCTGAGTTCTCCGATCTTAGCTTCTCATTCTCCACCATGTACTCCTGCAGCATCTCGTACAGACTGCTGTCCACTGCAGACTTGGGCGTGAAGGTCGACAACATGCTACTGTGTGAAAAAAATAGCAAGACAAATCGAGTATAATGGACCTGTTAAAGGGAAAATACAACATTTGCAAACATCAAAAAATAAAACTACCAAATCATTTTGAAATACCTTGCTGGACTGTTAGTGAATGACAGTGTAAAGCATCCTGTAAAATCATGGCACCTGGTATACTGTCATTTTCAAGAAAAGTGGTATTTTTGTATCAATTTCCAACGCTGATCGGCCGATCAGCGTTGGAAAAAAACTGGCTTTTTTCAAATACTGGCCCCAATTGACCATCACACTTGTTTGCAATCGATTACAAACCTAGGAACGGGTACGAGCCAGCTAGACTGGTTCCCTGACCTTACAATTCCCCAATGTATGTAAACTGCTCTGTTTCTTCTTATATGGAGTCAGGGAACCAGACTACAGGAAAATGATTGTTTTTCTTGGTTTTTATAGCATTTTCGAACCCAAAACCTCAAAAAAGTCAGTGTAACTATATTTGCTATATATTTCCAACCCCCCAATTCCATCCATTTCTGAAAATTACAGCAAAAGCAAATGATGTATATTCCCTTTAACGTATAAATCTGGGTTACCAGTTGCTTGATGAAGTCCGTGGATTTTGGAAGCAAGTTCAAGTTGCAAAATAGCAAGCACCAGAATTGGATTTATTTGATATTTAATTGGCCCATTAAGTTTTGGATTTTTTCCAAGCGCATACGAGTGCAAAGGATATTGCACTCACGTGTTCAGTATTGGAGAGTCGAGTACACAAATTACCCACATGGAATATATGCACACACAAAATTTTTCACTGGCGAATTTCCTTGGCAAAAAAATACCTGCTTTACCCAAAGTGACCTACCCATCCAACCTACCTATTGGTATCTCGCCTCTTAGGTTCCCGTTTCTCCTCCTTTACCAACGACGTCTCAGACGTCCCTTTACTCCTATCAAAGTCGCCTGGTATGGGCGTCTTGTCTCCCGACAAGTTTTCCTCAGAGAAGCTTGAGATGGAGAGGCTGCCCTCCGTGTCGCGCCGCGTCATGGCAGGCTTGTTGCCGGCTGGCAGGGGGAATTCCAGCCGCTGCCTCAGGTAGATGTTCTCGTTGCGTAGGAGTTTGACCTCTCGTTTCAGACTCAGGATGAGTTTCTCTCTTGGGTCCTGTCGTGGCAGAGGAAGACATAATTCGATAATAATTAATATTTGTTACCATCAGTAACTCCTTTCTCTACGAATTATAAAAAGAAATATTAAGGCAAATGTATCTACTTTTGTACAATTGATACAAATTTCAACAAAAGCATTATGCAACTAGAGACGTCAAGATAAAAAATGGATCAATAAAAATGCTGATATACATTTAATTCAAACCTGTAGCGTCGGGTTTTTTTAGACCATATTTTATTCTGTAACTTTGAAGTTGCATTCCCCCTGCTTTTCAACAAATTCTATTTTTGTTTCTCTTTACAAATTTTCAGCTTGTATGTTTTATTCCAACCATAAAAACACTATTGATACCGATTCTTAAGAACAGAATTATTTTTTGGCTGAAACTCATTCGAAAGTAATTTCTATTCAATAAGTAAACGTCGGCCGGTCGATGTCTCAGATGTGTTGCTAGAAAAATAGTAATTTAGAAAAGGAATCTTTTTGGGGGGACGAAACTCAAAAATTGCACGAGAACACAACTTTTAAAATAACTTAAATATGCGGTTTTGTTTTACCCCCATTTATCTCACTTTACTGAAAGTTTGAGGAGTGTGTAACTTTGATTCCACATGAATGGTAAACCTTTATCTAATAAAATTAATTTCTGGATTCTTGTCTCGGAGGACAGACATCCACAAACGTGCAACATCTGCATTGACATACCATTCTGACAACAGGCTTGTTCTTGATTCTCTTGGCACGGTTTGCGTAGCGTAGCGTGCTCAATGATTCTGATACGCAGTACATTGAAGGTGTGATGCATGCAATCTGTAATGCAACCAAGAAATATAATTCAACAATGAGAGAATTGGACAATTCATGCACAGGCCATCTTTTTTCCAAAATTGGGGCCTACTCATTTTAAAACAAACAGGTTGATTCTTTTGTTTTTTAAACAAACTGGTCGATTATTTTGTTTTGCATAAGGAAACAGACAATTCAAATCCAAAATTGAAAACCAAGTGTATTTTACAGGGTGTGAATTTTGGTTAAATTCTGATTTATTTTCAACTTTTGATTGCCCGAAGGTACCCCATCGCTAGTGATGTGGACACGCTGGATAGATCCAGCAATAATTGGAAACATATTTCAATTTTAAAAGCTACACACAATATGAGCAATGGCCCTGTCTTTCTTGAAGTGTTCAACATAATATTATGTACACGCTTTTAAGATATATTTGTACTGCAAGGGAAGGGAAATTGGTTTTTGAAAGTCAATAAAGTCAGACAGTCCAAAGTACTGAACTGGAACAGTTTAAAGAGGTTGTGGAATGCTGAAAGTCGTTTTTTTTATATATTTTTGATTGTAGAGTAGACCCATATACCATAATGACAAAGTCCCATTCATTTGTAATGTGCGTTTATATGTTTATAAAACTGAAATTCATCGAGTAATTTGTTGGTTGGCGAGCGCATAATTGAAATCAACAGTCGTCAGGTTCTTTGTTAAATGAGAAAAATTGTGACGTAATAAACAGGACTCGTTTATACTACGCTGCATCGGGAGTCCTGTTTATTACGTCACGATTTACTATGTTTTGTTTGCTGCCCCCAACGACGACTTTTACACAAATTGCACGTTCGGGTCGAAACAGGACCTGAAAAACAGCTCCCAAAAGTACCTTTTGTACTCATTTCATGGCAGACACAATAGTCGTTTTTATTTCATCACACCTTAGGCTACAAATACCCAAAAAATGACGGAAATGTCTTCGAGCATTCCACAACCTCTTTAAGTCAATGCCTTTATCAATCATTGCTTCCTAGCACTTACCATGAGAGTGACACCACTGCCTCCTAAGCTGTCAGCAAGTAGCTTGGTGAGCTTGCTGTCCCTGTATGGTATATGCCCGGACCTCTTCCTGTTATCACTCAGAGCCGATATGCAGTTTCCTGGCATGGTTAAACAAAGTTGGTTTCATCAGTCAAGTTTTTATATTAGAAAACCGTGACGGTGACCCATACACTTTTAATGCTTCAAAACCCATATTTCTTCAAACCCATTACCCAAAACTCACTTCCTTAAACTCAGAGTCAAAACCTTCCATTCTCAAAAAAAAGTATCCTCCTAAACAAATGAGATTCCTAAAAGAATAAACCTGAGGCAGATTTGTCAGTTTGGTTGTCATAGATTGTAAATGTGTGAGCTTTGAAATTGAGATTATAATAAATACAAGTTCTCCCTAGGCCAAAAAACCTAAATTTATGGTGACCTGACCTACCTGGATTCTTTTGTGGCCAAATTACCAACCTCAAACTTTGTATTGCCACATTTGGTAAAAAAAAAGTAAAATAAAGTAGATTTTGAAAATAAAAAATCTTCCCTATGCACATGTCTTTGTGTTATTAGTTAATTGAACACTTTAGCAGGTTAATTGAAAAGGATACTATTCAAGAATCCTAAAGTAAACAAAGTAAGTAAATTACCGTCACGTGGCCGGTCTTAAACGGATGATAAAGACATGGCTAGCTGGTCTTAAACACCTTTCCAGTGTCACATAAAATGTGGACTCCTAAAAATCCAGTGCCTCTTATCGTTTTATTGGTTGAACGCTCACAGTCCTCACGTAGGCTTGCGCAACACTACCAGTGAGTCAAAATTTTATAGTTCTAAATTTAAAACGCAACGCCCCAGGTGCGTTCTGCGCGACATCGCACAGAACGTGCCACGCGCGCGTCACTCTCCATAAAAGGGTTGTTAACATCTTAATCGCCTGCTGAACACTCCACTATTTAGCTAGAGGGATGTTTCAAAAAGCATGACGTGAACTTGTTGAACAAAATCGGGATTTATTGACCGAAATATTATATTTTTTTGACCAAAAAGGTATTTATGAATGGGAATAAATATGTGCTCGGTCGGTATTAATCACTCTGTTTAAGACCGCTTAGAGTCTGGGTGCTGATAATTACCCTCGCCTCCGGCTCGGGTAATTATCAGCACCCAGACTCTAAGCGGTCTTAAACAGAGTGATTAAAACCTCTTGAGCACACATTTATTCCCTTATTAAAAAATTACAAATTCAACTTATTTTTCTGCCTACCCACTTGGAAAATTTTTAGGGTGTTACAATAGACACACTTCTTTCCGGCCTTTGAATACACAAGTCTTATTGTCACATGGTGCCCGTCACTGCAAACTTCTATTTAATGATGATCTTGTCAAGAGAGCACTAAGTGAGAACACCCCTTTTCTAAAATGGAAGTGCCAAACAGAAGTTTCAGCCAATGGCTGCTCCGCTAATTTCCTCTAATGCAGTTGAGGCAAATTCGAAGTCTGTGACTAGACTACATGTGTTTGGTACCAAGACTTTCACATGAAAAGTGAACATGGACTGGCGAGACTCAATGTACGCTCAAGTGGATGTTGGACTCACCTAGCGTTAACAAGCTCTTATTGATGTTAGTAGTCTCAGTGAGTAACTCTCCTGTGTTTCCTAGTTCCTTGACTTTCTCGCTGCCAGCCAGATCAACAAAGCTCAGCCGGCCGTGCTTGGTGATGTACAGGCTCTCCTCCTCTGGATCAGGCTGTTTATATCACAACAAAGAACATCGATCATTAAATAGTTGTATATACCCCAACTTTGTTACAATTTTGTTTTTCAAATCAAACTGCTAATTTTAGTATTGAATATGTTATGAGCTTTTGTGAGGGGCATTGTATTTTACGACAGGGAAGCTCCTCCCACCAACTGTGGTCTGTGCTCATCAACTACCATTTCTGTTCGCTCGTACCCCCCGCCCTGCAAACAGGGCGCTGGTAAGGGCTGATGATCGAGCTTCACAGAATCTTGTGAAGGAAGTACAGATTGACCTTCGTATGCAGCTAGCACGCGCTACGCATGATGGGCACCGGAAGCTAGTTTGTGTGACGCGTTCTACGTCACCGGTCACGCAAAATCTATCCAATGAGAGCTTAAATGACGTCAGCCCTGACCAGCGTCCTGTTTGCAGGGCGGGGGGGTACGAGCGAACCATTTCTGATGTGTTGAACTAAGTCAATCCTATCCGGCACTTCCTTAAACATAATCGTGTAACTTAGATCCTACAGTTATGCCAGTACTTAGACTTGTACGGCTACAGGGCATATGCCCACAGGCATGTAAATGCGAAGTAACAATTCAATTCAATTTATTTATTCGTCATGCCAGCATGAAATTTTCCTTCTCGCTTTGCACATAAAATTTCAAATACCTACAATACAGAAAATTAAATATATAAACATACAGTATACACGTTAAAACATTCAATGAAAAGGCAATAAATTAAATAATAAAATAATAAACGAGTTCCTCAAAAACACCGTAAAACCCTAAAAACACACACATGGACCATATTGAACAGGCTGCCTAGGGGACAAGGAAAGGTATGCTGGAGACAAAAAATAGGGATAAATAGCAAGGAGGAAAGAAAAAAAAAGAAAAAAGACTTGCACACACGAACACAAAGGGACAACGAGAAAGAAGGGGTTGATAATGGAAGGAACGATGAAGGGCACGAGTAACGAGGGGGTGGAAGTGAATGGATAGGGACAAAATATGAGATAAGAGGGAAGGGAAAATAAGGGGGGGGGAATGGCAAGGAAGGCAACTGGAAATGAAAATACTGTGTAATGACAGGCTTAAAACTATAATACATGTACATGTTCTTTAAAAACACATTATCTGCTAAAATCGTTATTGAAGCGAGAAACTGCATTTGGTACAAAGGACAGGCGGTGACGGTTTGTCTTGGATTTGAGTTGTCGTAGTCTGCCGGACTTGTTAAAAACTAACAAAGTATGCAGCGGATGGGTATTGTCAAGCAGTATTGCTTTTAGTTTTGCCGGCACAGCTGACTCGTAGATAGATCTCACGTCTCGGACAGTATTACCAATGATTTTACTGGCTGATTTGGTGATCCTATTAAGCTTATTCAAATTATCTACTGTCAGACCGTTTACCCATGCAATACAACAAAACATGATCACAGACTGGATGACACTTTGATAAAACATAGTGATTATCTCCCAGTCGATATTAAATACCCTCAATTTCCTCAGAAAATAAATTCGCTGATTAGCCTTAGAACATAATTTTTGAGTGTTGACATTCCAATTCAAGTGATCATCAATATACGTTCCCAGGTACTTATGCTCGGTGACAATTTCACATCATAACCAAAAAAGAAGAGGAAATTCCAAGCTTTACAAGTATTTATACAGTATTTGTCAATTTTCAACAGCATAAGTGTGAAGTGAAAATAAAAAAGTGTGAAGTGAAAATAAAAATCAGCTGATCCGAGGAAAAGTTGCATGCCCAAAAACCAAGAAATGAAGTTCCAAATTAATCAAAAGGTTTTTAAGCACAGAACTGACTTCAAACATTATTCTTTTCACATAGGTCATAAAAAGTCTTAACAAATAAGTGAACAAGTTCTTAAATACATGCACATCACATCTCATTTTGTATAATGTCCTAAGGTCAGGCTTTCAAGCAGACCCAGGGGAAAAAGTAGCAGAACAGTAGCATCAAAAGTAAATTTAAAAAAACTTTTAAAAAGGACAAAAGTAGGACTTTGAAGGACAAAATCAAGATAACAGTAGGACTTTTGCAGGCTTTCAGGAGTAGTTTTCGTTGAATACTCACTCAACCACAGAGCATCCTTGCTCTATGCCTCAACTAAGTACAGTTGCAGTACTCCTGCACCCAAGCCCTTCAATGTGTGATTTACATATGACAGTGTGTAACGCTGTCATGAAAAATATTCAATGAGATTGGATTTTTTGGAGTAGGAAAAAAATAGCAATTTCAAGAAAAAAATAGGAAAAGTAGGAGCAACAACCAAAAAAAAGAAAAAAAGTAGGGACCGTAGGAATACTTGAAAGCGTGTAGGATATCATGTTTACCACCGGTAGTGCTTATGAGATGATTGTAGTATCGGCCACCCAGTGATTTCAACACCTCTGGCACTCTGAGAAAAATTCACACCAACCTTTTGCCCACACCATACAGGTATTTATGTGTGAAGTCACAATGCATGACTGTTTGCATCAATCAGCGCCCGCTAACCAGATATTCCAACAATAAATGCCATAAAGTGCCTGGTACGTGATGCGTGACAACTTCACATTATGTCCTGGGTATTCTATTATATACCGGCACAAAATTGCCACAGGCTGCATGGACTCAACTGCGACACAAATAATGTTAGTTTGTTCCTCAAAAAAAGAATGGCCTGTAGCTGTTTGCCTAAACTAATTAACAGTTTGCCACGAACACCTCCAATGTAGAGGTCTTTAACATGTTATTCAGTCAGTTTGAATACAGACAGGAAAAAAGAATTACAAAATATCACTTCACACAGTTTGTCGTTTTTACCAAAAAAAATTATAAAAGTACCTGTACATAGTTAGGCAAGCACGATGAGCTATGGGTATTTGAGACAATATACAAATATTGAATGCTTCGAGTGGTGTAGTAAAACTAGCCTCCCAAGGTGATCCATGGACATTCTATTTTCCCGAGGCAAAGCCGAGGGAAAATAGAATGCTCCATGGATCACCGAGGGAGGCTAGTTTTACTTCACCACGAGACATAGCATTCAATATTTGTTTTATAACACTTTACCCACAGATTCTGCTTGGTTTTAATATTTTAAATTTATTTACATCTGAACACAGTTGAAATAAATTTCAATTTTAATACAAAATTAGTGGAAAATGTATTTCTCTCTTCCAAACTACCCCTTCGTGAAATGTTTGAACCCAACTCTGTGGCGCGCTCTCTTTGGAACAAAACGCGCTGCGTGCAACGCGCACTCCAGCATGCATCATGCACACAAATACCCCGCCGTGGAAATAGTACTTTGGTTGCTAATGGTACAGTACTTTGGTTGCTATGGGCATAGTACTTTTGGCTGTGCACAGAAAGATAGCAAAATTAGAAAGTAACATGTGACTCGCTCTCGGCCAACCAAGACACAGAATCTGTGGGTGAGGTGTTATAAAACCTGCTATGCCAACAACACAAATACTATGCCCTTAGGGTAGCAAACGGTGATTTGACTAGCTTCTTTTTTCCTATTCAACTTTTCCAAGTCAAATGGTTTCTACGGACTTGCATGTACCGGTAGAAACAGTAGATGTCTAGGGTGCGTTCAGACGGAGGCGCGCAAATTGACACCAATGCAATTGCCCTCGGACGTTTTAGATAAGAAGTTCAATCAGAAATATGTTCAGACAGGAAAGTTACGCCGGTGCGCGTGGTGCACCAGATGGAAAGTAGCTCCAGTTACCCCACCGAGGTAACGCAATGCCAAGCACATTTCCCAACCTTCTGGTTATAAAAGTGCGGTTGCGGGAAATAAACTACATGTATATGCCCAACTGCCAGTGTTGTAGTACTCGTACTCAAGTACTAAACGAGTACTTTTTCTGGGAGTACTCGTACTTGTACTCGAATGTCAAAGTACTCGTACTCAAAATGACGTTACTCGTACCTGGGCAGCGAAGTACTCGTACTCGAATAGCAGTATTCGAAAAAAAAAATGTTATAGCTTGACTTACCACGGCCTTATTTCATTATCGATACTTTCAGTTGTAAATGGTTGATTCAAAATTTCCTGATTTTTCTCTGTGCACGTCCGTACAAACGCATTGAACAGCTAGCAGTGAGTGGGTCTGTATATCGGTCTGACTGGGCCTGGGCCAATTACGCACAATGAATCATTTGCGGTATGGCCGTATTCGGAAATAGAAGTACTCATACTCGTACTCGGTAACCTAAGTACTCAGAAAAAAGTACTCAACTACAACACTGAGACCCAACTAGCAGAGCGCTGTTGCACCACAGCCCGCTGTATATGATTTCTTGCGTATTTCTCACGTTTTTTGCTTGCCTGATTTTGAATTTGTAAAGCATGCATGTTCTCTCAAACTGGTGAAAAATGGCAGTGTGATTCCAAGATGTTTGTACGTACCGGTACCCATGATGGCAATGAATTGTTTTGTGTACAAGCAGGCATACATCACAAACCATGTTGCACGTGGGACCTGTTACACAACAGGTGACTACGGATTAATGCGAGTATTACCACAGGAAGTAGCAGCTAGGTCAGTAATTGCGTTCCACTCTAATGGTACTTCATGGCTCATCGCCGCAGGGGGAGATCGTTATTTCTTGCGCAACTTGCGCAAACCTACCATTAATATAGAGTCCAAGAACTTACCCCTCCATGGCTGGATTAGAGCATTCCAAAAGAGTGTTTTAACTTCTAAGCATTTTTGAATTAAGTACTTATATATGCCTCGTCTTAACATGTACAATTGTACCCTATGAATTGTTGTGTGGCCCACTCGAAAGAGGAAGTGAAAGACAATGTCATATGTGCGAAATGTGTCCCTGCATGCATGGCAAAGAGAATATGCTTAATTTTCAACTCACTTTGTGCATCCAAATTAAGGTATGTACTGTATATTACTAGCGTCTGTGCGAGGGGAATGCACTAGACCAGGTACCACAGCAGAAATTTGGTTCAAAAGGCTTCATTTATAATTGCTACATTCACATGTTTAAAACTGAGGGTGCTGTCATGCAAAAAGCCCACAAATAGCCCTATATTGAAATTGTTTCCTTTCTCTTAAAATAATATTAATCAACTAAACAATGAACTTTATTAAATACATCTATCTTTTGGGTGTATTATGATCAACAAAATCAGATATGACCAAAATAAGTACCTACATGTATCCTCATACATATCATCACAATCTGATTTCCTAAATAGCCAATATCCACCAAGCAAAAGCTCAGTCAAGTACACACACCATATACAACACATGCACATGCATGCCTAAACAGTACGCATAAACGCGACACACAAAAACGACATATCTACATTTATCCATTAATCCCAAAAAATGGGATTCCCAATCCACCAAGCATCCAACAATTTGAGCACCATTCACTGTCAGTGTTACACGGTACCACTAGGCCATGCCCGCAACCTCACCTAAGATAAAATACCAGAACAAAATAGCACTCTCCACCTATCGCGGTAACAGTTCTTCCTTCATTGTCACAACGTCAACTTGAGGTATAGCCGCTCCATGGAAATGAACAAAAGGGTTGTTAGATTTCAAGTCCGTGTACACTGTTTCAACTCGCAATGTCAAGCACACAGCTCTGGTCGTCCCGTGTTGACAATTCTCCCATGTGTACTTTGCGCGAGTAAACACCGGGTCCCGGCAATGCGCACGACGAGGAGAGGTCGCGCTCGACGCCGCTTGCCTTGAGCATATTGGAAGGAGAGATGAACAAATGGACGTTTATATAGGGGACCAAATGCGTAGGTCGATTCATGATCAGTTTGGAGTACAGGCCAATTAAGTTTGCAATTGACATATAATTATGTTCATTTTGATTTCGACTGGCATTGCTTTTAGAAGGAATTTTACGTTGTAAGAAGGAATTTAAGTTGTAAGATCAACTTTTGGGGGGGGAAAAATTCAAAGGGTAAAAACTGGCGAACTGTTGAAAAATACTTTATTGAAAAATAAACTAGCTAGGCTGTCCATTTTCAAATAATTTAGCATTCGATTATTCGAAACTGCGTTTTATTGAATATTCAAATATTCAAAACTCGGCAGTCAAGTTTACACATGCCAGCTGCAACTGCATGCCGCACCTGTCAAAAGTTGCATGCACAGCGCGGCGGTTGCAATTTGCAAACAGCGATCGATGTCATGGGCTGCAGGAGTGTTTTGCACTATTTTATAATTGTCAATGGCTTTAAAGGGAATATACAACATTTGCAAACATCGACAAATAAAACTACCAACTACTAGGATGTTGGTTAATGACAGTCTAAAGCATCCTGTAAAATTATGGCACTTGGTGTGAAGTCATTTTCAAGAAAATGGTATTTTTGTATGAATTTCCAACGGTGGTCGGCCGACCACCGTTGGAAAAACCTAACTATTTTTCAACTACTGCTCCAAATTTACCATTTTGTTCAGTCAAAATTTTGTTTGCTATTGGTTACATGTTCATGAACGGGTGCAGGCCAGCTAGACTGGCTCCCTGACCTAACAATTTTCCGGCATCTATAAATTGATCCATTTCATCTTTAGTGGAGTCGGGGAACCAGACTACTTGAACGTTTTTGTTTTTCTTGGCTTTTCCAGCATTTTCGAACACAAAACTTCAAACATGTCAGTGTAACAATATTTGATCTATTATACTAACCCCTCAAATAGTTCATTTTTAAAAAATAACAGCAAAAGCCAATGATGTACATTCCCTTTAAAGATGGGAACAATGAACCATCGTCAACAAAAGTTACTGTGAACAAAAAATGGCATCTGACGATAAAGAGCAGCAACTTTATGTTTAAAATAACATCACAGTCTTTGTACACATGCATAGGTTTTTAACTTTTGAATATTCGAACCAACAAAAAGTTCTTTAAATGTTTGGTTGATGATCGAATATTTGAATATTCAGTATATATGCGGCACAGCCCTAAAAACAAACTGCAATTTTAAAACGATAAGAATATACTTATTTGGATGGTCGAAAAATGACATCTACAAGGACCTTCTTTATGGTTAGGTTATGTGTATTAGAATATATATCTAGGATTTTCTGGAATGGAATATTTTTCATTGTCTTCTCTCAACTTGTTTCTCCAGGCTTGCAAGCTAAAGTTCAATGGGTGCTCAAGTTTTGAGGAATCCTTGGTTTCCTTACCAGAAAGAACTAATAATCATGTTTATGTACATGAGTCATGCAGTAAATACCACATTTTACTAAAAATAAAATGTGATATTACAACTATTTCCCCTTTCTGATTATAAAATCCAGAGTAAAAAAAAACCCTGATAACCAAGTTCATGTGAAATAGAAGTCCATAAAGTTTATGGATTAATTTACTCTTTCGAAATCTTGGCTCAACTGCATAAATTGTTTTTATGACATGCAACAAGGGACATAAATATTCTTTTGACACTATCCGAGTATACTCACAGCCAGAGTAATTGCGTCAAAAGTTTGCAGAGGCCAGTCAAAGTTCTCTTCCGTTGTCAAATATTATTGCCAATGACAAAGCCCCCCCCCCCCAGCATAATGCACTGTACACTGTTGCCATGCCACGACAATGCTATCAGTGCACTTACACGGAAAGACACGATAAGCCAGCAGGTACAATGAGGTCTGATTGTATCATTTAAAATATATTTGGTGGTATTACTGAATCAAAATATAATCTTACACATGTACTTAGCACTGGGGAAGTGGCCAATTTTACACATGAAACAACTGGCTTTAGGTTATATTTTGTCAAAGTTCACATAAAAAAAAATACTTGGGCTCACTACTTTTGGCCAAAAAAAAAATCTTCGGTTTCTGGTATGGAGCTTGCCCCAAAAAGTAGTGCGGCGACGCGGCTTTTTTTTTTCTGTTTTATTCTGTTCTTCAAACTTACCATCTCGCTATCAATCTGTAAAGACACAATGGTGTGGCTTCTACTGGAATATTCATTGATGTTATTGGTTGCTATCTGTCTCTGCCCCATGCCTGAAAAGAAATTGAGGATGAGCTGATGAAAGCGTAGACCACACACAAAAGTGACACAAGCATTTGAAACCACTAATCACACAACAATATTGAAACCACTCAAATATACACATTTCAAATAGCACACAACAGGTGTTAGAAATGTGCTTATATGGTAAGAACAAATTCAATATATAGTCATTATTTTTGTTTGACTATGTTTCAAATGAGAAGCTGCACTGGTACTGCACACAAAAGTGTGCAGGGGAGTCAGGTTGGCGTAGCGGTACTTTCCTCGCCTTCCACTGCTGTGACCCGGGTTTGAATCCCGCCTGGGCCAATATGTGGATTGGGTTTTCAGTCCCTGCCTGATTCCGTGGGTTTTCCTCAGAATATTCATCTGGGCTTTTCCTCCCACCTCTAAAACTGTAATTTCTTCTCATTGTCTTCTCTCTACAGGTTTCTTCAGGCTTTCGGGCTACAGTGCCTAGGGCACTTTTGAGGGATCCTTGGTTTCATAACCAGAAAGAAATCAAATAAAATAAATAAAACTAGCTTTCCAAATTCGTGGACATTTATAGGGATTTATGCAAAACATGCAATTTCTATATGAAAATATAAAGAAGTTGCATCGTTGATATCTGATATCTCTCACCTTCTTCCAAAACAGCTAACAAATCGTCCAGCGTTTCACAGTCCACAACAAACAGGTTCTCCACGTAGAAGCCTTTGTCCTTGGACCACCTGACAGGCAGCGACTCTCTGCCTGATGGGTTCAGCAAATCCTTCACCTGAAGAAATAGAAAGACAACGCATGAGCTCAAGATGATTCAAGTTTCATCACAACAAAAATCGATTATATTTTTAAATGGGTATTTATCTAGCAATACCAAAGTCATTCTTTTTTTAATCACTCATCAGACGAAGTCACCCCACATTAATATTTTGGGATTAAAGGGAATGTACAACATTTGCTTTTGCTACAATTTTTAGAAATAAATGGATTTGGAGGATTAGTATGTTATAGCAAATATTGTTAAACTGACTTGTTTCACGTTTTGGGCTTGTATGTATATATGCTGGAAAAACCAATAAACCAATCATGTTCTTGTAGTCTGGTTCCCAGACCCCACTTAAGATTAAACGGAGAAATGTAAAGACTTCGGGGAATTGTAAGGTCAAAGAAGCACTCTAGCAGGCTTGTACCCCCTTCACAGGTGTGTAATCAATTGCAAAGAGTGCGGAATAACTAAGTGAAAAGTTAGGAGCAGTTTTGGAAAAAAGCCAGTTTTTTTTCCAACGCTGGTTGACCGACCAGCGTCGGAAAAATACAGTTTTTCTAGAAAATGTCAGCACACCAGGAGCCACGATTTTACAGGATGCTTTAGACTGTCAATCCCTAACAATTCAGTAAGGTATTTCGTGATTATTTGATCATTTCGTTTTTTGATGTTTGCAAATGTTGTATCTTCCCTTTAAACATGTGCTTGGCAGGTTTTAAACGAGGATGTTTAAACCCAGCTGGGAGCCTGGACGCAGATAGTGGTCCGAGCCGAAGGGAGTGTCATTATCCGCATCCAGGCCCCTAGCCGGTTTTAAACGTACTTGTTTAATACCAGCCAAGCACAAATTTACTCCCATTCATACATACTTTTCGGTCAAAAAGTCAAACAAAATCAAATTTGTTATAAAGCATGGACAAATTTATTTTTAACTTGGGAATTCTTTTTTTTTAAGCATAAACTATCACACAGCTATAAATTATTATGACAGTTTGGCAAGAGCCCAAGAATGTGGAGGGTGGGTAGAGGGCAAAGGGCAAGATACACAGCCAAATGGACACAAATTTAGACAGGGAATTTCCCTGCCAAAGACTGTATTGATCAATTAAAAACAAACAGCACCTTGTATATTATTAAAAGTGTCAAAATGTTGAAAGATTGATTTTCAAGCTCTTGCAACTGGTATCAGCTCACTTACACCAGCCTTATAAGCGATTGTTATTATGTCACTGAGTTGGCTACACACAACAACAAAAATGAAGAGTTAAAGGGAATGTACAACATTTGCTTTTGCTGCAATTTTCAGAAATCAATGGATTTGGAGCGTTAGTATGTTATAGCAAATATTGTCGAAATGACTTGTTTCACGTTTTGGGCTTCTAGATGCTGGAAAAAAACATGAAAACCAATCATGTTCTTGTAGTCTGGTTCCCTGACCCCACTTTAGATGAAACGGAGCAATCATGACTTTGGGAAATTGTAATGTCAGAGAATCAGTCTAGCAGGCTTGTACCCCTTCACAGGTGTGTAATCAATTGCAAAGAAAACGTGGAATAACTTATTATGAAAAATTAGGGGCAGTTTTTGAAAAAAAGCCAGTTTTTGGAAAGATACCATTTTTCTTGAAAATGACAGCACACCAGGAGCCACAATTTTACAGGATGCTTTAGACTGTCATTCCCTAACAATCTAGTGAGGTAATTCGTGATTATTTGATCATTTCGTTTTGTGATGTTTGCAAATGTTGTATCTTCCCTTTAAAAAGAAAAAAGGAATTGTTTCCTAATCAAATAAAATGGTTGGAGGTTTCTTTAAAAAAAAAATTCAGCCAGAACTGCAACACATCCCATGCCTTCTAACTTTGTGGGAACAGGGATGTAGTTGAGTCCCATCACAAGTCCAGTCACAAGTAAATCACAAGTCTGTTCACAACTCCAGTCGCACAAGTGACGGTGGATTAACAGTAACAAAGGAATGCCTTGGTGAAAGCTCATTTGAATAGCTTGTCAGTTGAATTGGGACTGGAGGACTTGTGATGGACTTGCAGGGACTTTCAGGACTTGAAATGGACTCAACTTCATCCCTGTGGGATATATTATTTTTCTCTTTTCTAAGCTAAGCCAAGGATCAGCTGAAAGTTTATATCAATGCAAATTTAGGAAACCATTCATTTAAAGGGAAAATACAACATTTGCAAACATCAAAAAATAAAACTACCAAATCATTTTGAAATACCTTGCTGGACTGTTAGTGAATGACTGTGTAAAGCATCCTGTAAAATCATGGCACCTGGTATACTATCATTTTCAAGAAAAATGGTATTTTTGTATCAAATTCCAACGCTGATCGGCCGATCAGCGTTGGAAAAAACTGGCTTTTTTTTCAAATACTGGCCCCAGTTGACCATCGCACTTGTTTGCAATCGATTACACACCTATGAACGGGTACAAGCCAGCTAGACTGGTTCCCTGACCTTACAATTCCCCAATATATGTAAACTGCTCTGTTTCTTCTTAAATGGAGTCAGGGAACCAGACTACAGCAAAATGATTGTTTTTCTTGGTTTTTATAGCATTTTCGAACCCAAAACCTCAAAAAAGTCAGTGTAACTATATTTGCTATATATTTCCAACCCCCCAATTCCATCCATTTCTGAAAATTACAGCAAAAGCAAATGATGTATATTCCCTTTAAGCTTGTATAACTTTGCTGGAACAACAATAGACCATTATCGTGTTGTGGCATCTTCATTTTTTCCCATTCAAATCAACATAACCAAAGCGAGGCTGGAAGGGAAAAACAATCTGGTTCCTTTTTGCAAAAACAAAACATCACTCAACACTGTTACTGGATACAGGGAACATGACTGAAATGGTGGCAGCATGATAAAGGTCTATAGTTCAAGTTCATAATGTCAGCACATTAAGAGGGGAGATAGTCTCCATTAAATCTCTGACAAACCTGCTCGTTGTATATCTCCAAGTAGGAGGCACTGAGGGTGAAGGTGATGTTGGGGCCGGACTTTTGACCCAGGACGTCAAAGAGATGACTGAAGGAACGCTGGATCAGACCGTATTTGTCCCGCGGAGGCATAAGGGAGTCCTGTGGATTAACACAGGGGAGAAAATGAAAAAGAAAAAAGTGTTTTAATAATTTGTCTTGCCCTATTAGGAAACTAACCTACAGAACACCGATAAAACACCGCTGCGTTCTGCACCACATCGCGCAGTACGCACTGCACATGTGCAGTACGCACTGCACATGTGCGAAGTTCAATAAAATGAGATTTTTAGCACTACGAGCGGTTCAGTTATCTTGTGAAAAACCCAAATTAAACCAAACTTAACCGAAAAAAAAAAACAGTTCGGACATTCACGTAGTGCAATATTATGGCAAAGTTACTGTGCCCGGTACGACCAACGTCAACCAGCGGCGCAGATGTGCATGTGGTTTGTGTTCTATCACGCACAGTCTATAACGCGTATAGGCCCATGAGTCTTCAACGTACCGTACGGTACGATTCGTAACTGAGAGACAACCATGTTCATGCGACAGTGGAAAGTTCAGATACAAAAAGCAGACACAGTTGCCCAAGTCAGATAGTTGGGGTTGTATTTCGATTTTCGAGTCGGGTCGGTTCGGGTCAGTTTGTTGTCTGAATTTTTGTCGTGTTGGGTTGGGTCAAATCAGGGAGTTATGATCAGTTTCTGTTTGGATTCGGTTTATAGTGTTTCAGGTCCGTTTGGTGCGGTCCACTCGACCTGATGGACAGCATTAGTGCAAACGTCTTCACCACTCCACAACTGATTTTGTTCAGTTCAGCTAGCTAGCTCCAGTCATCAGTATGGCAGTCTATTATCATGATCATAATCATTATAGCCCTTGTCAAAAATTGACACAGGGTGAGTTTGATGCTCACCTGACTGATTGGTCCTGTTATCGTGTAGGTCTTGCCCGATCCCGTCTGTCCGTAGGCAAACGTGGTGCATGAGTAGCCGTCCACTGCCATCTCAATCATCTGCATGATGCCACATTTCTCCAACACCTCCCTCTGCGTCGTGTTGTGGTCAAAGACGGTGTTGAAGGTGAAGGTCTTGCTCTTCTCAGCATTGCCCAACTACATGAGGAAAAGTTCAGTCAGTTCAATGGTTCAATTCATAATTAACTTCTGTACATGCATTTTCGTTATTGTCTACTGAGCCATCATGTACTCCACAGTTTAATTTTCACAACTGAATATGAATTGCAATATAAGGCTGTGCATTTTTAATATTCAATATTTCCAACATGGAATAGATCAAATTTTTTAATACTTGATTTCGAAGTTAAACACACTCCAGCCAAAAGTGGCAGCCGATTGAGATTTGCGTGCACCTGCTGTTGTCAAAAATTGATGAATTGCCAAATTTTGGAATGGCTGATGTTTGACCAATTTTCAAAATATTTGGAGCCAATATTTCTCATGGAAGCTCACAAACCATGTAAAAGAGTAGTATTCAGCAATAGTGTGACATTTGATAAACAGAAAAAAACAGTCATTGTCTCTTCAAGTTTCTAATAAACTCACCGTGATTGAGGAGGAATTATGCTGGATTTTAACACAGTCTTTGTCCCCTCGCTTTTTCTCGGCCTCACTGAGCGGTCGTACCCTGAAATTCATGTAAGCAATTAGAATGTTATAAAATGTGCACAGAAATGGCACAATTTACTGGTAATTGCTAGCAAAACTGACAAACTTGGTGTGGAAATTTAGGGGGAGTATTGCCAGAAATGTCCGAGGTTCAACTGCAAGAGGGCAAAGCTTGAATGCTTTCTTCTAAATGACAAAATCTGGAGGAGGGGCCAGACCTACATGTGTATATGTATGTAAGGTAGATAAAGTTGTAGCAACCTCATGCGCTTTCATGACTATACATGTACCATCACACTTTTCCCACAACCCCTCATGGCTGAATGGTCACAAGTTCTCATTTCATCAATTGATTGTTGTATCTGTAGTACACTCATTTACTTACTTTTGTTTGTTTGTGCTATTCAAATTGAGCCATGCTCTATGCAAATCAATCTACCTGGTACATATCAGAGTAACTGAGTAGAATGGAAATTATTTTACATAATACAAGTACACCGAAGCAACGTGTATCAACCTTGTTCATTTTTTTTTTATTGAATGAACACAGATTACAGGTTTATACTACTGAGCAGCGCACTTCCCAACAGCACAGTTTCCAAACTACACTGAGGTGTATCTCAGACTATTGAGAGGATCTTCAATGGTGTCCTGGATACCAGACAAATAGAAGTCTTAGTAATAATCCAGGCTCTGGCTATTTACAAAGGATATTCAAGTACCGGTAGGCTGTTCAGAAAAATCCACAATAAAACTGAACAACACCTGTTCAGCCCTTTGTCGGTCGGCTGGCCTTTTTCAAAAGTCTTAGGCCTATAGAGCTACCGGGCTTCAGAAGTGTGCATTGTGTGCGTGGAAAAAGTCAAGAGACCTTCAAAACAGTTTAAAAACAAACTAAGCTGCTTCATACTACATGTATGCTCCAAGGCGAAGTGAAGTTGACATTTTGAAATATTTGTTGTGAAATTTGCCAAGTGAAAATGGTTCAACTGTTGCGGATTCGCAGCGTGAATACTTGCCGTGAAGTCAGAAATTCGCATGAGGTGTATAAATCAAGAAAATGCAAGCAGAGACATTTTATTTATTTTTTATGTGCAAGTGTATCACAGAGCTTTACTATACACGCATCATCAATCAATGATTTTATTATGACTCGGGTGCCAACCAAGATCAGACGCTTGAATTTAACACAAAAACTGCTTGGAAAAAGATAAACTGCATTCAAGTAGTAGCACGATCAATTTGTAGCTGATCCATGCAATCTCAATTCCTTCACTCACTGAAACTAGTGAAAGTGCACATCAGGTTCAAAATTTGACTGATGCACATATGTACAATGTATCTGTTTTGTGGTAAATGTATTATGGCTGATCATAATTTCACCCTGATCATCATTACACATGTAATTGTATAAATTATGCCATTTATGGTTTAATATTGTAACATTTATGTGTGCAGTAGACATGATAAAGTTTCTTTTCCAAGAATCCATTCAGGGTTTCATTTTCTAAAGCACACATTGACATAATTTGGATATATTCCACAATCCTGATGAATACCCTTTTCAAACACGAGTGCCTTGGCATTATTATGTGAAGCAATTACGTGAAGCACACTAGAAGCACGTCTGTATTTACTGTTGTACTTCTGCTAAGTGTTCTGGTCAATATTGCCTATTTTACCAAAGGCTACTGGTAGTTAGCATTAGTACACGTACATGTATGCTATGATCAAACAGATGTACTTCTGTTAAGTGTTCTGGTCAATATTGCCTATTTACCAAGGGCTACTGGTAGTTAGCATTACACGTTATAATGCTATGATCAAACAGATGAATGCTACATCCTAGCAAAAAGGCCTAGGGAGTTAGGGTTAAGTCACCCCTTTTCCTCACTTTTTCAAACACAAAAATTAGCTCATCAAGCTACATGTACTTTACAACTTTGTACATTATGATGTTTCTCAGGACCTTCGACCATGGACATGATGGACTATTCATTCATACAGCCTGCACGAAAAACTCTTCTAAGAATCTGTGACCAGTCACCAGTGCAAAATGGAATTTAAATATTTTTAAATTGCTCTCTCAAGTGAAACAGAACTTGGCTTGAACCAAATGAAAACATTCACTGTAGGCCTATATGTTGAGAACTATTCTTTCTCAGCACTTACGTATTTCAGAAATTCTTTTCTGGAGAAAATCCTACACTTTGCTTTTTTTTTTCAAATTAGGACTGACATCATTGAGCTGAACTTTACAAATTAAATTTAAAAAAATCAAATTTCAGATTGAAATTAACTTGTCTGAGCCGTGTCCTGTGCATACTCTTCCTAAATATTATTTAAGCCTAAAGGTGTTAATGAAAATTAAATTGAAAATCAAAGCATCGACTACACAATTAACAGCAATGCTGAACGTGCAATCTTGACTACAACAACAATTCCTTGGCACCGAAGCCACCTGCCCCAAACCATGGATCATTATCACCGCCATCCGTCCATTGTCCTCCTGCCTAAAAATATCTCCTCCGTTTCCCTCCTCTGCATCCCATCTCCAGCGCTTCCTCCGAACAAACCCCAGAGGCTAAGCTCATCCATCAGGTGATTATTCTCATTTCCGAACCACCTGTATGTGTGTGTGTTTTCCCCCTAAATGCCTGGCCCTAAGTGTTATTGTTGCTCCAGGATGCTTAATTAAGCTCAGTAGCGAGATTATTTTTATGGTTCATTCCCTTCTTCACAGCACATCATCAAATGCTGCCACTTTTATTCATGGTGTGATTATTTGGGGGGGGGGGGTTAATGCAAAAGCTGAAAATATCACTCAGGGATGGACAGCATCAGTTTCTTGCTGTTGTTTATGCATAAGTTTAGCAACATTTACAATAAAACAAATTTTATTGAGAGCAAGATTTCTGGTGAATAACCTAACCTCCGGAGTTACATTCTGTGCACAGTTCAAAATCAGATATAAAATGTCCACAAGTGTTATATTATCTGAAACAGCCGTCCACTGTTTTTACATTTAAAATGATATCATTCTCTATACATTTATAACGAACACAATTAAATATTAACAGCCTGATGAATTTATTTGGGTCAAATTGAATTGAAAAATCAGACCACTTAAAACTTGTTCAAAAAGTATGAGCATTGTGGGACAAGAAATAATTTAACAATCAGTCCAATATGTAATCAAACAAGACAAAATCATGCCCCCCAAAAAAAACAAGACGACACTTCCACTCCAATTCTTGCTTTAGAGAAATTTACTTGTTAAAGTTTCATCACCTTCAAACAGTAACCTGGCCACAATAAGTTAACAAAAAAAGTGGCTAAAGTACAAAGATCACAGTCCAAACTTCAGTTTCCCTTGCTTGCACTGTCCTCTAGTACACAAACTAGCCATGTATCTATGTCTGTGTTTCAGCTGTCAAAGTTGGCATGGAAACCGATCTGACCTCCCCTGATCCCTGATGTGTGAACCCCTACCCCCTGGGCAATGGATAGGTCCCACTGACATCACCTGGCTTGTCAAGTCACCTTGCACAGGAGGTTCTGTCAAGGATCTACATGTACATGTAGCTCCAGGGTCGATCCTACATGTACATGTAGAGCTATGCTGATACATTTGTACCTCTACACCATTACACTTGGTGAATGAAGGGGGTCTGCCCAATGTTCCCAAAAATCATTCGGGTTAGGGTTACTGTTAGGATTGGGGAACGTATTGGGGCAGCACTGGTATGCACCCGAATGAGGTTTTTGTCTACCTGTATCATTATCAAGTTTTTCACACTGAAGTTAAAAACCCAGTGCTAAACACATTCACATTAGTGCAATGCAGAAATGAAGATACTGTGTGACTCCAAAATAGGATTCAGATGATTTTACTCAGGCTTTTTGGGCTAAATAATAATTTTAGAAGGTTGGGCTGGGATGGTTAAGGGGTTCAAATAGGGAAGCCTGCACCAGGTACACGTACCTGAAGAAAGATACAGGTCAAAACTCACCTAGCAACAACATTTACTTGCTCCAGGCCTCCGTCTTCAAAGTCCCAATCATCTGGCAAGGAGTCTGGTGCTGAGTTCAAACTGAAAAATAGAATAATAAATAACATAGCGATTGGCATGTCAACTGACAGATGTGTGTAAGAACCATGGATGATAGATTGCATAGAAAGTGCTATCATAGCTGGCGCAGACATCCAGGAATTTTTTACACTGGCTCATCTCAGACCCATTTTCTTGCAACCGGTTCTCGAGTCTGGAGTGCTGAACGGTAACACATAGCAACCGATGAAAATGTACGTGCTATAAATGAACAGATGATTGCATCAACCATGTTTTCATCGCCCCAGCTGATTATGACGTAATCCCGCCCTCGCCTATATATCATCATTGTTATTACATATGGTCACAACTCACAAAAGAATGCTGCACATGGGACTGAGATTTTGAGACTTTTCACAGAAAATATCCAAAGCAGCATTACTGTAAAAATATAATCAAATGATGGTGTAGGATACATATAATATGATAATTATACAAATAGACACAAGAAATTGTTTTAGCAAACCAAATGAATCAAATGATTCAAAGTAATTTCCATCCTACATGTATGAATAGCAAATTCAAATTTACACTGTCACTCAATTTGAAAGAAAATCACATTTTTAGAAATTTCATTATTTGTTTAAATATATCTAATCTCACATGTTAACCCTAATTGTTAATGAGCAAATCTTTTGACATTTTTCAGACAGAAGCGCTAATAAGCCTACTGTGTTGAATATGTCCGCAAACATTTGGTAAGGGGTTTGTAATAAAGCCTGAAGTGGACATGTAGCCAGGCTGTTTACACTATAGGCCACCTACAAGGACAAGGTCAACCACATGCACACACAGTACAGGGCCACGTGTAATACAGGAAGCACTACTCTGTTGCTATGCAAACAACGCTTCCTTGGAAACCCTAGTCTGAGTGAACAACCCTATTTGTACAGAAATCAAATCTTGTTGCCCCAGGCTGAAATCACTGAATTA